TTGTTGGGATACTGGGTGCAGTTCCCAATGAACTCATGAATCATATACTTGAGAAATCGAAGCTGTATGTCTGATCTAGGTGGAAGATATCTGGTGTGTGTTTAGCCCCTTGACCTTTTTTTTCCATCCACACATAAATCATATTGCAGAACTGACTATATTTTTGCCTCCCGATCTGTTTTTTTCTGCGGTACACAATACTGAGATCCTTCCCAAGTTGCTATCAAGCCAATTTCTGTAAATCTTTACTGACAGGTCTTCACATGCCCCCTGCTGGTGTTTTAAACACTCCGTTATAACTAAATGAAATGTTCTGAATGCAATTTGAAGCTAAATTGTAGAAGTTTATTTACTAGAAACCATTAATCTGGTATTCAGTTCACTTTCTCTTCTGCCTCGGCACTGCACTGGAAATCAAACTAGTCAGAAAGTAATTACATTTGCTGCTTGGACACTATGCCAAATTTCTTAGACATAAATCTAGGCAGAATTATTACTTTAAATGAAGCAGAGGTTAATCTGACAATGACAAGTTGAAAGAAGGAACAAAAACATGAGGTTTCTGCTGTGAAGCTTTGTCAGGTGTGTGGGAGAAGGAGGGAAGGAGCGATATGAGGTGGGAGAGTCTTTAAGGAAGACAAAAGTGCCCAAAGAAATGGAAATCTGGGAGATGATTTCCAGATTCTAAATGGGAGTTTGTAGACTAATTGATATTATCTGATATCAACATAATTACGTAGAATCGCCTTCACTTACTAAACACTTATCTATACTTGATAAAGGCTTTGTTGCCAAAATTGATTTTTTTTGTCTGTCTAAGAAATGCGGCAATGGAAAATAATACACATTTTGAATTGGAGACCTCAAATGTTAGTGTGATTTCTGAGTGGCTTTTCATCGGCTCTGTCTTCTGGAGACCGTCAGTGTGAAACACAGAAGGAGGTCCCGCTGAAAGAAGGTTGGGGCAGGGGGGTGATCGAAGTGTGGCTCGTGATTTATGTTGATACACAAAAACAACAAGAGCTGTTCAGAGAAAAACACGAAGCGATGCTGGAGAACAGTTCGAAACCACAGAGCCATTACCTGATCTTGAGGCACAAACCCTAATTATCCCCCAGAGCAGCTGGAGAAACAGCCGCTGAGCTCTGTCTGGAAGCAGAAGCTGAAACTGTCTCCAAGGGATCTTTGATCAATCCGGGCCTAAGGTGGGATTCATGTCCATGACCTGGCAATGAAGTGACATTTGTGGAAAACTGGACTACATGTCAGGGTAGCAAGAAAAAGAGTCCATTATTTAAGCCCAGACACTGTGAAGATTGTCTTGTGTTTGTTAAAGACTATTTAGTCCAATCTGTTGCCTTCTGGGAGAGTAAAATAAAGCTTTCTGGTGAAGACATGAACATTACTGTTTGCTGCAAGGCAAACACAGTATTCCAAGAAAAGAACTGCAAAACATGAAGGCAGAAACATTGTGATCAGCAAATGACATTAGTAAGATTGTTCAAGCAAAAGGAACGAGAAATTCCGACATATATCAGCTCATTCCCAAACCCACAGTTCCAACGTCCATTCATCAGCTGAGGCTAGGTTGGCCCTATGTCTTCCAGCTGGATATTGGCCTACATCCTGCACATTCCACAGCTGGTTGCCTCAAAACAATAACTAGAGAGGGCTTGCATGGCTATCTTGATGTGCAGACTTGAACCCTATTCGACTATGTGCACATTTATCCAGGATGAGCCAGAAAGCCTTCAAATACAAAGCACTTAGTGAGAAACCACAGAAAATGCCAAAGGCCTTATCAGCTCTTATAAAAAGTGATTGGTTGAAGTAACTGATGCTAAAAAGAACCAACAATGCATTAAACTGACGTGTTATTTCTGCACAAGTAATTTTCCTGTTCTAGTGCAATTACCATTATAATGGGAAGCAGATCTCTTTGGATATTGTTGCAATTCAAAAGTATGTTTTTCTTTCCTCCTTTAAAGTTCACTGACTTTGTTATGACCCTAGCATTACATGAAGATGCTGAAAATGCACGCACTGAACATTGTGGACTTTAGACAAATGCTCAATAAAATTACAATGTTTTTCACATTACACCTTTCATTTGTAGGGATCCATCAAATGGATTTATAATGCGGCACGTTGCAATGCAAATTCCCACATCTTTTATAAAATGAGATTTGAAAGCGGTGGTTTAAAAAGTGTTTCAATGAGTTATTTAGCTCTGTGTCCCTAGGAGAATTATCCCACAATTGTACTCGTTTAAAAGAGGTCTTTTTTTAAAACCACAGAGCACTTCATCTGCGATGAGTGGGCATTACTGAATTATCGGCAGGTAAGCCAGCACTGTCTGCCTACAGGACAGCATGCAATGTGAACCATTAGTGCAAATTCACACTGTGCATTAAATTCCAGCACTGTGCACACAAATCGGGGTGTTTGGAGCAGAATCATAATAATCATATTTTAAAACCAACCGCATTTAATTAAACAAAATGCAAATCCTGTCTCAGCTGGGACGCCAAACTGTTTTATGTCAGCTGTTCACCCATGGGAAAAGATACACTTTTACGTCTTACAGTGCCTGTACAAGTAGGAAGTCTGGAATTATTCATATTATTTCCAGAATACGTGGATTGCTCCAGTAGATATGCAAGGATTCAAAATGTCTCACGTTGTTCACGGCTCAGTTCAAGAATGAAGGGGGACCAGCCAGTTCTTACTCTCTGGCAGGGCTCCAGTCAGGTTTTGACAGAACGACCCCGTGTTTCAACTTGCAGCTGAAATGAATCTGAAATGAACTGATAACAGATCATTTCGCCCGCCCTTGTTGTTAACACCTCAACTTAAATTTCGGATTAATTCCAAAGTTACAATAGAGAAGAAGAACGAGAAGACTTTACATTCTAGCACCTAACCCAAAGTACTGTGGAAAGAGCAGCTTCAACTCTCTCAAAACTCATGCTTGGTAGCTCTGTGTCGTGCTAGTTGGCTCTTAAAAAGACACGCTGAACTGTAACTGAGATGTTTTGTATTCTCAGTCTATGAATTTGGTCCACAGCAGAATGTAATATAATAAAAATGTATCTGTCTATATCTGTCCTAGTTCCTCTTTGAAAGACAAAGCACTCCATTCCCATCCTTTTAAGGAAGTTGCAATCACACAATTTCTAAAGTTCGATCGGCTGCATTTTTAAACCTTTTATGTCCTCATAGAGACCATTCCGAACATAAACTGAGAACACCGTATTTGGTTAAATTAAAAAGCAACAACTCTCTGCTTCTGAATGCAAAATCTGTTGTACAAACTTGTGTAAGCTCAGAAGCAACTGGTAGACATAAACGAGGACTTGGAAGCAATTTCAAACTTGCAACTACAGTAGACAGAAACAAGCTGAGCTCTGTACTAACCTTGTCGTTCTCTGGTGTCCCCGTTCACAGTTTCCAGCATGTTGTTCAGTAGTAGAAGGAGTAAAAACATTACACGAGGTCCACATTCTGTTGGAATTGTTTTAACCTTTTTCTGCCTGTGTTTAGTGTACATCCCTGTTCTTCTAAGTACCGCTATTCCTTTCTGCTGTCGGTCGCTCAGAGCACTGATCACTGCTCAGATGTGCGCTGTCAGACAGTTGGATGGTGGGAAAACCAGGCCTGGAATTCCAAGGAGCTGGGTCTGTTTTCCTCCCATCCTCCCACAAAGACACTCACTTTGCGAGTGGGAATCAGAAGACTGGGTTTCTTGTATGAATGCGGGATTTCAATACAGGTTGACAAAACAACAGACAATAATGAAGCCCCTTATTGATTATTGATCCGTTTATAAGATCATGCATAAGTTTGATCATGCCCTCTTAGGCGTCTTAGGCATTGACAGGAGAAATAAAACCCCACAGCGCTAAAAGTAGTGCCCTTTTAACATTTTACTTAGTGTTAAAAGTCAGTTTGTGAAAATGGATGATTTCCCCAATTTACTAAACTGTTTATATTGCCAATTTTTAGGTTAGTCCACTCTTGATTTCCTGCTGGTTTTTGAAAATACGATCCCTTTCTGTTTGTAATACAGTATGAGAAATTCTTAACAGGTTGTACAGTAGCTGATACTGTGTTACAAACAGAAAAAGAGCTTGCTGTTTTAACGTATACATTTGTATACGGTTATTGTGGACATTACATAAAGTACAGAAGAGATCTATTTTTAACTCCCAGGGGCTGAATTAACACAAGTCGATCTGATCTGTTGCCTTCCCCAGAAGGGCACGCATAATTACAGGAAAGGCAACCTGTTTCCTTATTATTGTTATATTATTAATCATACTTAATAAAATATTGTGTTTTGTTCCAAAGGCCCTGCCAGGGGTCTTTAATCATTATCAAGGATTTAGGAACTGATAGATTTATTCAGCCCTTGTGAGGAAGTGCACTTAACTTCTGTACTTTTAATGGCTAAATGTTCTTAAACATTTAATGTTGTCCCGCATTTAATGTACTACAATGTACCTGGGAAGTTTGTAAAGATCTGCTTGTTAACATCACGGTTTCAAGTTATTGATCGTCATTGCACTAAAGCTAATGGAACAGCACAAGTGTTTACATGAGATCAAAGTTAACTCACATACAGTATTTCCGATACTACTCACTGTAGTCCCAGCTAGAGTCCTGGCAATAAGCAGATCAAATGAGTTTCTTTTCTCCCATTTATAATCATGGCTAATGAAACCTAATCATTACCCATCGTCTTAGCTAATGAAACACATCACAGCCATGGGAAATTCAGGGACAGCGGATTCACAAGATGTGATGAGCCAGCACCTTGTTGTCTCTCCTTGTCAACACTCCTCCACCCACCCTTACTGACCACGAGACACCTAATGTACAGTACGGAGACACGGTCAGCAAAGAGCTCGTATGACAACACATTGGACACTATTGGAGCATCCACAAAATCAATGAACAGCAGGAACTCAAACTCCTGTGCCCCCCTGCTAATCTGTGTTCTGAACTCCGGACACTTACTCCAGTTCAGTTGAGTTCTTTTGTCATTTGGACAAGTGCAATGGCATTCATATTTGCATGTATGCTCCAATGCAAAGACATTAAAAGAATCACCAAAAACATCAAAAACAGACAGCAACAAGAACAACAAGTTGAAGTTGTTGAACATACAGCTTAAAAAAAGTCAGACAAGCAGTGGAATAATAAAAGGTTTGTAGGAGTCTGGAACAAGCAGCCCAGCCACGTTGTTGAATCATGTTGGATCCATTAGTACTGGAGACTGGCCCCTACTCATTTGTAATTGGTGTTATGGTATATTCTTTTGTTTTTTTTTTTTTTCTCTGATATCAATAGACCTAAGAACTCCAATAAGCTTTAAAATGATATTTTGGCTGAATCTGTGTTTTTCTATTCTGATGGCAATGATTACTGGCTATTCCAGTTCTTTATTGGGAACACATTAATTTGATTGTTAAGCACTTCTGTTTTATTATACAATTGATTAGACTAAATGCATTTTCCTTATTACACAGTAAAAGAGGAAAATTGACAACACTGAACTGCATAGACTTTTCTTATATCTTTCATTTAATGGACATTTACCATCACTGAACCATTATGCATAATGCACAATATTTTTACAAATGTCTTTATAGAATTAAGAAATGTGTCTTTATTCCATCTTGAACAGGTATTTGAAGTCTGGAATAAATAAATGCATAGCCTGTGTTTCATAAATTTAGGAGTGAGAAAGAAAATCAATACTTTTCATCAAATCTCAAGAGGTTTATGAGGTTCCCATGAAACCACATTGAAACTCCAAGTGCTTCACAGTTCATTATCGAAGTTAATTGCTGAAAAATATACACTGAGCCAAATAACATTACTGAAACTAGAAGCAAGCTGTGGTTAAACACATCGGATCACAGCAATGCAGTGTGCATCATTCACAGTTTTAGTTTTCAAATCACAAGCTGAATCATATTCAGAGAAAGATGGGAGAAATCAACCAGGTTTGGGTGAGTATACTTAATTTCCATTGAGATAAAAATATTTCAATTTTTTATAGAATCTACAGCCATTCAGTCCCTCTTAGAGAAAGCTGGGTTTCATATTGTAACGCAACAGGGGTTCAGGCGGGCGCCCTTGCCGCAGTAGGTCAGCCCCCCACCGTCGGGGGCTCGAACCCCGGACTCCCGCGTCACTCAACAGGGACCCAGCCCGGTGAGCTAAAGAGAGATCTCTCCACAGCCCAGTAGCTGTAGTCCTGCTATCACAGGGAAGGGCGGCGACGTCACCTGCTCTGGTAAGCCGGCTCTTACACAGTACCTGTCGGCCGTAAGCGTTACAATATATACTGAGAGGCATTAAAAACACAACAAATTCTATTGCTTCCAATATGCATTTATTGAATTCGTTACACTTCCTGGAGTTTACAGTATAGTATATTATACTGTATATACTGTACAACAAATATCTAAGAATGCAATTATTAAAGATGTAATAGGCTTATAGCTTTTCAGCATGGAATAAACTTACTGTATTACTTGTTCCTTTGCAGCTAATGCATGCTGACGCAGCTACCCACCTGAAATTTGAGAGATGCTACATACAAATGAAGGTTAAAGGATTATTTATTGTACAAAAGGAAATTACACAACAAAGTGTGAACAAACACAGAACAAAGACCCAAAACCACAGTCTTCATACAGCTAAAAGTGTGCAGCATATTAATATGTTTTAATTAAATTAAAACATATGGTTCATTTCTATGTCCTCTGCACATGAAGAACAAGAAGTCCTATTGGCATACAGAAAATGGAAAGAATTAATAAGAAATAATGTTTTAAAAGTTTAATAGTTTAAGGCAAAAAACAGGCTTTTTTAAAAAAAGCTTTAAATATGAAATCATATCTTAAGGAAGCTGAAAGCTGCTCCTGGTACCATTTCACATCTCTAGAAATCTACAAAGACATCTTTCAGTAAATTAGTGGACTTTGATTTTGAACTGCAAGATCCTGAGTATGGCTTTTTGCAGATGGGCAGCATGGAGGCACAGTAGTTACCATTGCTGCTTCACAGCCTGGAGCCCAGGATTCAATTCCAGAATTGCTGTCTGTGTGGAGTTTGTATGTTCTCCTTGTATGTTTCTGTGGGTCTCCTTTGGGGGCTCTGATTTCCTTCCACAGTCTAATCACACACTGGTAGATTAACTGGCTTCTGGGGAAACTGGCCCTGGTGTGAGCGTGTGTGTGTTTGTGTCTGTGTGTGCCCTTCAATGGACAGGCTTCTTGTCCAGGGTGTCCCTTGCCTTGTGCCCGTTGCTTGCTGGGATAGGCTCTGGCTCCCTCCCAAGGCCTGTATAGGAAGACGAGGTTAGAGAATGGAGAGATGGATGGAAATGTTCAGTTGTCTTTTCAGACCGACTCACTTCAGTAACCTGTGTGATATTCTAAGAAATTAAAAAGATTAGCCTGTAGTCCGGGGGCAGAGCTGCTAAATAACGTAAAGGAAAAGGGCAGAGAGCTAAATACAGGGGATCCTACAGGTCTGTCTTATTCAATTCAATGTCCTAGTTCCTTTTAACATTCATAGTGTTAATGCAGCGTGCTAACAAGGCTGATGTGTAGATCTTCTTGAGTTAAATAATTTTATTTCTATGTTAAGTCTCAAGTTTATGTTTTATACTGAATTAATTGTTGTTAATCTTGCCGTATAACTTACAAGAAATATCTGGGATGCTGCGTCTAATTAACAACCCAGAGAGAGGGGTGCATGGTTTTTCGGGAGAAGATCTTCCAAGGACAGTGATCTCTCAGTCCTCACTGAGCGGGAGACTGCAGCAGCACTGCTACTGTGTTTCACAGGGGATGTCTCACGCAGTGAATGTGAAATATTAATATAACTCTCCCCCAACAGAGGATACACTCGAGCAGATATTTTGCCTTGGAAAAAAAGACAGTTGTGTCTGATCTTATGGTTTCACTGTATGGTGGCCCAAGACACTTGTAAACCTACACAACATTATCTTTTAGCAACAACAGTAATTCAAATATCAATCCTTCATCTACTGTAGCAGACCACAGAGGAAGAAATGTCTGCTGTTTACATTCCTAGAGAAGAATCCATCTTCTAGTGCTTTACGGTGAGATAAAACGGGAGATGTTTTTTTCCTCCTGCAGAGCATCTCTTTAACTTTTTATGAGGCATGATTTCCACATAGTTCCCACAGTTTTCAAGTCTTTTTAAAATAAGTTAACTATTTTTAAACGTCCACCAGGAACAAAGTTTCCCGCTGAAACCCATCAGTTATATTTCCGCGCCGGTACCGGCACGTCTTAAAATAACCATGGCGATAGCAACAGCAAGAGCAAACCAGCAAAACACTCAGGACATGCTTTGCTTTGTGCTCAGCCTTCGCTGACATGAACAACTTAGCATTCACTAACTCTGACGTACAGTGTAAGTATTTTATTTTAAGGTTTGGAGGACATTATTTTCAAGAGCTTGAGAAGATGGCCAAACTTAAAAAAAGAAAAATTCTTCGCAATCATCGGTAGATTTTTGTTTGACCGGATGAAGGGTTTCTATAGCAACACTCTAATAGGATAATCATGTTTTGTGCTTATTCCTAACTGTTCATGTGGCGCTCAGGATGTAACAGTGCTTAAAGAAACCAGCCACGCAAACCTGACGCAAAGTAAATGACAGCTGAGCGCTCTCAGCCTCGAATTGTTTTCAGAAGCATACACAATAAAAAATCCAATAAAAAAACTGTTTCAAGGTCAAAATATATGATGTGCCTTACCTGGGGGCGTTGTACTTAAGTGATTTCCCCTGTCACAGTGTTTTTCAGTAGTAAGGACAGATTTACAAAGACATAAGACCCTAGGTAGGGAAAAATAAATATTTGTCAGGGGTAGTCGAAAAGATAAATAAAAGATGTAAATATCCAACGTAAAAATGGTACAAATATTAATATATTGCACAAAAATACAAATTAACATCATGCTGACATCATGTTACAACAACACATTTATCTGAGAGTAGAATCTGAATCCGCAAATGATGTAGAGTGAAAAGAAAATCCATACAGATGGGGACAGGTCAGCGAGTGCACAAACTTTTCCCAATCACAGAGATACATACTTCTTTATTGCCCCTTCTTCTAAAACTAAATTATGCATGAACGTTTTGGTCATTTGGTAACCCTGTTCTTCACTGATTTTATTGTGGGAATCAGAATAAATTCAGAAGGGAACGGGGATGATATTGAATTTGAGTTTAATTTTTAAGAAGTGATGGATTTTTTCTAGGTTTTCCTCTAATCTGGAGTTTTATCTCCAGAGTGTGTTCCCCAAGGCCTGAGACATCTCCAGACTCCTATCATCACTCTCCTGAAGAAACTGATTTACAAGTGTCCCTAGGGTCCCTATCCTCTGGCTACACCCATCCGCAAACAACACATGGGATCATTTTCTTTTGGAAAATAGCTTGCTTTCTTCACTCATTTGTCCATAGTGTCATCTGTAAAATATACAGTAGTTTACCAACTCCAGATACAGTTCCAACGTAAAGTACAAAAACTTACATTTTCTACATTTAAAATTAACCATTTCATTTTCTACTGTCTTGTTTTGCTTTTTACTGAAAGTAGGTTTCATGTTCCAGGCAGAAGAAGGCATTACAAATCATATAATATTTATTTTGAATTCCAGCATAAGGGAATTAATTCAGTACTCTGTATGTACTGCGGACTACTACAAAGTAAAGGTGAAATATGTTTCTAGGCACTTAGTGTTTTGTGCAGCATGTTTTGGAGATGTAAGATTCAAAACAGGAAAATAAATACAGGATATACTTAAAAATCCACTTTATTAGTGAATGGCAAACCTCTCACACTGTTGCTTACAAAGTCTGAGATCGGGGCTTTCCTGATTTTTATTGTCCTTCCCTTATTTTTAAATAAAGGCAAATGAACTACAAAACCCCCAAACGACCTTTCCGGCCCCCTGGTGGAAAAGCAGGGCCGATTGGCATGCTAACCACGTCATGGCTCTTCTCTTGCGCTGGTCTTTGACAGGTATAATGATGAAGCACCCTGGGTGTGCTGCAGAAATAAAGCAGGCTACAAGCTCAGCGAAGGCTTAATTACCTGGGTGGCTTTCATGCTATAATTGGTAACAGTGGTGAACCGGCAGGAGGGATGCTTTGTCTGTCTCTGCCTTTGAGCCACCGTGAGCTGAGCCTGTAGTGTGTGGGCATTAGCCTGCGTCTCTGTCCCAGTCCACACTCTAAAGAGCTATGATATCCAGCTAGCTTAGCTTTAACACACGGCTGAATCTACACTGCTAGCTCATGGAAGGGTAGCCAAGCTTTTGGTGGGAGCTACAGCCCATTTAGACCCAGTGTCTTTTTCCTCATGAAACAAGTGCAGAAAATAATGCACAGCAGGGGAAAGTGAGGGAAAACCCAATCAACAAATAGCTGGGGCATTTTGGCTCTTCATACAAAAAGAAAGACATGAATAAGAATAAGAACAGTAAACCATGGCCTTATATCGCCTACTAATAACAGGAAGCTCCAGACATAATATGTGGAAGGAAGCAATACATGTACCATTCAGAGCAATGCAGGTTTGGAATATGATGTGTGTCTGGGATGGGGGACTGCCTTCTATATTTATGCTGAGTTTTAGAATAGCAAAACATTGCTGCTGAGTGTCAATTGTGAACATCCATCCATTTTATAACCATGTTGCACGGGAACAGGAGCAAGCAAGGATTGAAGCCGGGGAGAACATGCAGACTCCACACAGACAGCACCCCGGGTGCATAATCGAACCCAGGGCCCCAGCGCTGTGCTGCAGCAATGCTGACCACTGCGCACTGCACAACCAACTACAAACATTAATATTTGCATTAAAAACATAAACCCTTTATTACCATATTTGCATTTCTTTTGCTTATCCAGGGCCACTTGTCTACATTGTATCATTTTTAACACCAATACTAAAAGAAAATGGCAAAAACAGTACTGTAGTGAGTTAGCGACGCAATAAAGGACTGCGAAACCCGTTAAATAAAAACTAGTTTTCAAACAAGGCAAACTCCAGAGTTCCATCATACTCCAGTTTAAAAACTTAGTTAGAATAGAACAGTCGATAATATAAAATTTAAGGACCAAAACTAGATTTCAATCTTCGGAGGGTAAGCACCTCAGTACCTGAATCATTTACCAGTTGTGCATTAGTGTTCTGATCAGAAAATGAGTCCCTGGTTCCCCCTAGTGTTCATATGAAGAAACTAATTTTAAAATTGTAATTTCCCCAGGATTTTCTAGATTATGGCCAGCAGCCATATCACCCTGGAGCTCCCAACTGGCAGCCCACTGCAGCTCAGCGGGTGTGAGCCTGGTCAGTACCTGGGTGGGAGACCTCCTGGGAAAAACCAAGGTTGATGCTGGAAGACGTGTTAGTTGGGCCAGCAGGGGGCGCTCACCCTGCGGTCTGTGAGGGTCCTAATACCCCAGTACAGTGATGGGACACTATACTCTTGCAACGCTCTGTAGAAAGTGAAGGGCATGACAAGGCACAGAAAGGCGTCATGGCCACCAGCTGCAACCAAGGGAGTCTCCGGTCATGACGACTACTCGTAGTGGTGGACCCAGGCTTCTGAGGTCGAGAGAGTGGGACTGCCCCAGTGTAACGCTTTCCCACTTCAAAAAGCTCTCCCACACAGGTTTCTTCGTGGAGCTCAACTTCCAAACAGATGAGCTGACAATACAACCATCTAGAGAATAGGAATAGTTATAAACGAGAAGAGCCCAACCAGTTTGGCAATTCAAGTAAATAAAATGCTGAATTTTGATGATAAAGTGATGAATTTCCATGATGTATACCCGGACATCTCAACAGAAGTTGTTTGATTTTTCCTTTTGCGCTGTACGTCCTTCTGGAACAAGCTGTCAGCACTGCAGGCACAAAACCCTCATTTGCAGCACAAATTGAAACATCAGTGTTGTTGGAATGCCTCCTGTGAAGCCTACCGGGAATCACAGCTATGAATAGCCTCTTCCATCATGAACCCCATCTTTGAGCCTTTGAGTAGACAATAATACATCTCCAGATTTCACACAAGCCCCTGGCCAGACTCAAGGAAGGTGAGAAGCGACTGTAAATTCTGTAAATTGGTCTGCTTTGCCAGCACGGTAATTCACCTGTCATGCCAATAAAGGCCCTTGCAATCTGAATTTGTATATAATGCCCCCTTCCCCAAACGTGAAAAAGATACTGGCACCTCTGACAGCTGACGAAAGCAGGCTTTTGACACAATAAGTATGGTACTTGTTTCATGCCTGGGGTTTGACACTGTGAAATGTTTGTTTTCCTTAAAACAACTCCATGTGCTCCACCTTTAGAAATTACAAACCACATGCAGGTATTCAAACTAAACATATTTTATTTACAGGTGTTCTGTTTTACCAGTGTTACAAATTCTGCTAGTAAAAATATATTTCACAACGAAACATAAAACATATAAAATGAAACGTATGCTACAGAACATTGGAGTGCACATGGTTTTCAAGCTAATGAAACAAACACTTCTACAGCAAAAACATCATGTAAAAAACTAAGTAAAATTCCTTTGTGCCTGCAATACGAGTCCAGATGATCAGATCCATGTTGCTCACTGCACTCCAGTCTGTTTAGATGGTAGTTCATCATATTCACTGCCATGGAGTTTTCCGACCCAAAACCCGGTTGGTGATTTTCTGTAAGAAAAACAGCTACTGTGAATACAGCAGCTGTATCTGTTTTCTGTCATTCCCAAAGTTTCATGAAACTAGTCATCTCAGGATTATTTTTTCTCTTGTTCAGTATTTGCTCTATTTTATTTGATTCAATATAAATCCTAATTTAAATAAACCTATGTTGATATTTATAGGAATAATCATTAATGTCAGCAAAATTTATTTACAAAAAACAGTTTTATATAAATATCGTCCGCTGGTTTTCATTCTAAATATTCAGTGCAAACTGATGGCTTAATTGATCTGTTCAGATTGTAGTATAGATTGTTTTTTGCTTGGTCTTGAAATATCCTACTCTTCAAGTGTACCGTTTTTAACTACTTTCAACATATCCATACAGAACAACATGCTGCTTCTCCTCAACAGCTCTTATTAGTTGATCAACTGATGGTGAACAGACACCGCTGGGAATAACACTGTATCAGCCTGCAATGGACATTTTACCCCCCGCTTAACAGTAGGAATCATATTTTTACTATATACAGTACAAGTTATAGTTGTCGTATCTATCTATATATATATACCTGTGCATTAAAAGATTACAGCATTCTATTATTATTAGATACCAATAGAGAGATTACAAAGGTGATTTTCTTTTGTTAACCAGGCTGATTCAGTTATTTTCTCATGAAACAGACTTTTGACCACAGAAAAGAAGTTCACGTTGTCTGAAGGTACATGAAACACACAATTTTCTTCTTAGACTGCCACAATACTAACTTAGCAACAATTCTGCTTTTTTTTCTACTATTATCTACTTTTGGTGTGCATAAAGGCCATACAGAAAGGTAGGCTTAAAATTATTACATCTGAATCTTCCTTTGAAAAATACTGCATGACATTTATTGAAAGCAATCCCACTCAGATACTGAGATTTGGATTAAATTAAAGGAAACGTTTATCGTAAGCATTTTGTTTTTTGCCTAGAACGTATTATATAGTACTGTATAGTACTGTATTACTGTAAGTCTCTTGCACAGTTTATTTCAGTTCAGTTAATCTATCAAAATGCACAAGTGCAATGCAATGCTTATTTGCATGTGCACTCTGCTTAAAGCAGTCACAGCCTACCCTCTTGTAGAGGTCTGCCTTGAGTCTATAGGACCGATACTCTGCCCTCCTCCTCTCTTCCTCTCGGCGCTGCTGGACCTCGGGGAGCTGAGCGTACTTCCTAAGAGAAGAAGAATATAAGAACACGAGAAAGACTTGCAAACGAGAGGGAGCCGTTCAGCTCCCCGTTCTCATTTGTTCACTCAGTCGCTAAGCGAATCTCAAGTTTCGCCTGTGTCTTAAAGGTGGCCTTCAAGAGCCTGTTCCAGATACCTACTACTCTTTGAGCAAAGAGTTTCCTACTCTCCAAATGAATTCCCTTTCAGTTTCCAATAGTGACCCCCTGTCTTTGTTTTACAACCAAGCATGAAATAGACTCCTAGGTTGAAAATATCTGTAACCGATAGAATTTTATTTACCTGGATCAAATCTCCTTTTACATTCATCTGTTTTAGAATGAAGAGATTTTGCTCCTTCAACTTATTCAATTTATAATTTCCCTGAGATCAGTTCTCTGAACTCTTTCTTAGTCTATATTTTCCAATATATTATAGTAATGTGAACAAAACCAACAGAACTACAGTAGTGCTTAAACATATCTTCCATGAATTTCAAGTCCACGCTTTTTGTTACACATCCAAGTCTCCTGTTTATTTTAATACCTTACCAACATTGTCTTGATGCGGACATAGAAAAAGTAGCATAAACACCCAGATCTCTTTCATGTGTAATGTCTCGCCTCTCCAAAGCACCCATGCAATGTGCATGGTTTATGCTCCTTCTACCGGTGTGGATCACTTTGCTCTTATCTGTGATTAATTTCATTTGCTCAGTGTTCGCCCAGTCTCTGACTTTGTCTATGTGCTTTGTAACTTCCTTGCCACTGTTTCCATTTGTCACTCCCCCTTATTTTAGAATCATCATCAGTCTACTAACTGTACCAGAATCTAGATCATTGATATATCTGGAAGAGCAATGGGATCCTGGAACAGATCCCTGTGGTACACCACTACTCACATAAGAGAACATGTTTCATATTCCTTAACCAGTTCTCTCTCTGTGTATATAGATTACATTGGATTTTATTTTGAAAATTAACTTTTCATGATGGACCTAAACAGTAGCTTTCTGGAAATCTAAATAGATGTTATATACTTTAGTGTAATGTCACTGTTACTTGTTTGAAGAATACTAGCAAGTTAGTCAAGGTCTTGCTTTTCTTTATTTTAAAATGACATTGTTGTCTATTTATTCTGCTTATTTAGCACTAACCATCCAGTAGCAGGAGTGGTCTGCAGTTTCCTGGTTCAGTTATGTTTCTTGTGGATTTGTGTTACATTTACAACATGAGAAATGCTACGAACAAGAGGTGGCCATGTGGCTCACTTGGTCCAAAATCGGGATTTTCCAGTCTGTGGGCACTGGTGTCATTCTAAGTGAGAAAGTCTGATCTTTTAGAGAGACAGAACTTTATAAATAAGTGTGACTTATAAATGACTGAGAACTCATGTTCTTCTTTACATGAAGACTGAAGTTAAAAATTGATTAATAAAAAAGGATTTTAATTCTTATAAACAAGAATAGAAATGCCTTTTTTGCATTTAAAAAAATACAGAACAAAATGTTTTTTCATTATTCTTTTTGTTCAATATACTTTATATTTTCCTGATTTATTCAAATAAATCCCAGAAGTATCCAGGACTGTACTTAGATACTGTAGATGCACTTAAAATACTTTTGAATACATGTGTAAATTGTAAAATGTGTGCATGTATCTGGGAATCTTTGGAATTTTACAACCTACCTTTTAACAAGTTCCTGCCTTCCTACCTTTCCAGAGGCTAACATTTCTGTCTTACAAAAGAGGCTGACAGATTGCATGCAGAGATAAAATGATAACAGTGAGAAAAAACATGACCTTATAGAAATATGAACCACTCAGACATTGTATTCTTAAGGTCAGCAAAAGTGAACTTGTTTGGAATAAAATTAATCCTTGTTAAGTATAAATTTAACAGATATGGGTACTGCCACACTGGTACCATACTGTTGTTTATACTGTTACTGTTATTGTATTTACTGTCTATTGTCTTGGCTGCTGTTCTATATATATAGTGCACCTGACGGACTAATGAGAAACACTTTTCATTATACTATGCACCTGTGTAAGTATAATGAGAAATACAGTGGAATTTAATTGAATTGAACTTGATGGAATACAAAAAATGTTAGAATTTTGAACAATAATAAACACCATAAAGGGAAACAAGAAAGCAAAATGGAAGACTTACTGTTTGGATCTTATGAACATCTCTTTCTTTGGAATGGCTCTTTTCTTTTGTATATGAAGTTCTAATAAAAAAAAGAAGTTTTGAAAAAAACTATATCACAAATGTATCGGCTGTTTTAGAATCTTTAGTTTGTCCTGAGCAAGATTCTTTTAGTAGGAACCAGGTTCCCATTTTGCTCGCTTTGTGACTTAATTTTATGTAGAATTTTGTATTTTCAATGTCTATAGAGGCAGGGCTTTAGTATCACAGACATATAAATATCTCTATATAATAGGGTAAACATTAAACAGTGGTGTACTTTATCAGTTTGCCTGTCTTATTAAGGTTGCTGCCTGATTATTATTGTTTTAAGAAGCTGTGCATGAGAAGTCAAGAACACGAGTATCATGCAACACAGTGTTCCCTAACTATAGTATATCATTGCATAATTATTGTTAATTTTTAGTATTTGCTTGCAAACTGATTTTGGTTATTTTATGTCTTTCGTTTTATCATTTTAAAGCCCCGTATTTCTGACAATAAAATATATATATATATACAGGCACTTGCAACCTTTTTGTTTCTGGGTTTTTTGACGCTTCGGTAAAGTAGGCGACACTGGTGGGCCTCACCTTTGTGTGGCTGCCTGTTGGGGTGAGCGACTCCCCAGGCTCTTCTGGTTCCCAGCTGGTTAAACAAGTCCTCTCGCTCACTGTCAAACACAGCTTGTGTCCTCCTCTCCTCTGCCAGCAGCACCAGCCTCTTCATTCGCTCTCTGGATCGAGAGATGAAGTCTGGACGGCACATTGCAAGAGCTTCCTGTGTATGGAATGAAGAGAGAGTCCCCCCCATGTTATAAGTTCAAGATGGATTTGCCTCATCTGATACCGAAGCACAGACAAATGCATTTATATATTGTTGCACAGGCACTTGCTTGTGGTGAGAATGTCACCCAATATTATACACCTTTTTCTCATCATTGAGCTAACGAATAGCACATCCTCAACCTGCCTGGCAGTCGGCACAAACGCAGACCGCAGAGCTGTCAGGATCCACTAACACAGCGAAGTGCAGGGGATCTAGTCTCCACAACTGCAGCTGCATCAAGAGGAAGTTTAGTAAACACAACCTAACAGTACAAAAGAGTGACAGCCAATCTTACACACGTTGCAGCCTCTGTTT